AGAGTGGGGAGCAGAACAGGCAGATCGACGAAGTACATTGCTGAGGGGAGCAGCGGGCGGGCCAGGAGAGGTCTGCCACGCCATGTGGTCACCTCTGGGCGGGCAGGGATCGAACTCATGCAGAAGTTTGCAGAAGTGGCTTTTGATTCTCAGTGCTGTGCTTTAACCCGCTGCGCCACCAGGGAGGGCCAGCTTATATAATTTTTAATGGTAGTTGTGACACAGAAATATACTCATCCATGAAGAAAGGAACTAAGATACAAAGATTGGGTTTGGTCAAAACCTTACAACAGTTTCTTGGAGAGAACATTGTGATTAAGTGTGTATTCTGCTTTGAATTTGCAGTATATCAGCGATCCCAAATGAATATCTGTAGGATATATTTTCTGCAGTTTAGGCAGTAACTTTTCCTGCAGATTAATTTGCTTTGTAGCACATCTTCCTTTATTTTTACTTCCCTGTGAAGAGTACAGAAATTACCTTAATTTCCATTTCAGAGACATGGAAATTGGGATACTAAATGAAATGTGACTGTTAATAATGACCCAAGGACCTAATTTTATGTCCCAGATTTTTTCAAATGTTTATATGCTCTTTTTAAATCTTCACAATAACCTTTGAGAAAGGTGCTTTACTGTCCCCCTGTGACATAAGAGAAGCTGAGGTTTTAGGAGGTTAAAGACTGCTTAATGCTCTGTAGCTGGTAAAAATGGAAGCAAATTCTGTGTCTCACAGATAAGTATGTTGGGAGGAAGAATTGGAGATGTGAGAGCATGTTGTACAGAGAATCTGTGATAACAGATAGGAATGTGTCCAAAAGAGGCGGTGGGTTTTTGGCACATAGGTGGGCAACAGAAAGGAGAAGCTTCACTAATATTGAGGAGGATAGTTCAAAATGCATGTAGCTTCATTTGGCCCTGGGCTTCTTTCCCCAAGACTTCTCAGTTTGCTTGGGCCTCCACTTTCAAGTGGTGTGATTCATGACGACGCGGTATTATATACATCCTTCCTTAGAAAGCTTTGGCGTAGAAAAAAATATTTCCCAGCTGTTTGGGTTTCCTTACATCTGAAATAAGGAGATATGTAAAATCACTTTCAGAACCTTTACCTTCTCAGTTACAGGAATTGTTAAAACGGGGCAGAATAAATTCTAAATTTAAGATTTGAATTGTATTATGTTCTTGTTTTTTTAAATGATTTTATAAAATTATTTCTTAATCAGTCTCTTCTAGCATGTTATTTTAGTTAAAATTTTGTAGCTTTATCCTTACACTAATATGCAAAATTATCTTTTTTTTTTTAGGTCCTGCAGGAGCAGTTAAAGATGTGTGAGTACTTAGTGTTTACTTAATATTTATGACTTTCAGTTCTCCTTCTGAGGAAGACATGGTGTTGTCTTCACAGTTATGACCGTCAGAGAATACTTTCCAGGTCTGAATGAAAAGACGCAAACATACTTTCTGTACTGTCATTTGATATTAACTAACTTGCTATTTGAAAATTTTTTTTTTAAAGATTTATTTATTTGTTCATACAGAACTGGGTTACAGGCCAGAGGTTCAGGGGCGGTGAGAGGCTTCACCAGAGACAGAGTGGGGAGCAGAACAGGCAGATCGACGAAGCACACTGCTGAGGGGAGCAGCGGGCGGGCCAGGAGAGGTCTGCCACGCCATGTGGTCACTTCCGGGGCAGGCGGGAATCGAACTCATGCGGAAGCAGCTTTAGAGTCTCAGTGCTGTGCTTTAACCCGCTGTGCCGCCAGGGAGGGCCTGAAAAATATTTTTAAAATGACTTTTCATTTCAGTCTTTCAGTTGTCCTTGCACTTTAACTCAGAACTTGGAGGAAGGAAAGTGTTTCACTGGTGTCCATCCTAGCTTGTGTAGAGCTTTAGTTGAGAACAAGTAATTTTTAGAAAATTAAGTTCTTGATGCCTGTGAATGTGCAGTCTTAAAACCAGCCAGCGGGGTGAAGGTGGAGGTGGTAGTTTACCAAATGCACTTTGAATTGTGTGAAAGCTGATAAACAAGATATTGTAGTGGACACACAGGACCATTCAACATAGTATTTGAGTTGACCTTTCATCCTTCTATAAAGGTTCATCTCCCCCAGAGAGGATTCTGGGGCTCAGGAGCCCTTTCAGCATTCTTCTGTGCCCCTTCTTTGTGTCTATCTCCAGTCGGTAAAGACCTGGCAGTGGTTCACTATTTATTTACTTTTTCCGGGGGTGAGAGATAGGTCTAAGGAGTCCAAAAAGCTGAGGATGGGGCCTTCCTGGTGGCTCAAGGGGTTAAAGCGCAGCACTATGAAGCTGTCCACAGCCAGTGCAGCAGGAGTTC